ACACATGAGGAGCAGGACACAGGCTCATTTCAATCCAAGACCCCCTAAGTGCTATTTGTCCTTAGGGAAGTGTGAATTAAAAATAGAGCAGGGAAAGCTGGTGGATCCACAGGCATGAAAACATTGGGTTTAGTGTGTAAACCTGAAGGCTTCTCGGTCATTCCTTTTTCACCAGGCTTTTTCAGACACCATGCACACCACCCAAGAGAAACAATAGGAGCCCTGCAGTCTGGGTGGGCTGCACGTAAGGAGCAGAGAATGCCCTCACCTTGCTTTTGGCTAACAAGATCTGTGATTGCTGCTGGGAAACCATAAAGTGTCCCTCTCCATCCATGCCTGGGAAACAGAGGCAAGTCCTTAAACTCTCACAAAGTTTTGGGCTGGAGATGTTGCACCAACAGAGAGCAGCTGAGTCACGGAGCTCAAGTGGGATCCTCCTGCCATTCCTTCATTTCCCTCTCTACCCTGGGGCAATAACAGTCTTCAGTTGCTTGCTGTATTTTGGCTTTCTTTTTTTTCCTCCTATGGAACTAATGCTTCTGAAAGCAAGTGCCTGAGAGCACTTACAAGAACCAGGATGCTTCTCTGAAAGCTCCCTCTCTTCCCCACCCATGGCCCTGCAATGCTTCCCAGACCTCATCTGCAGCATCCTCTCATCCAGTCCTAAATGGTGAGCATCCTGCTTCACTTACTGTGGTGTCATTGTTGTGCTCACAATATGCCCACTGAATACTGCCCCTGTACTGTCCATCCCCAGGCCAGGGCCAGCTGGATTTGATCTCCCTGTGAGATACATTGCCATGGCCCCTAGAGCTGAGCAGGGTCCCCAGCATTCCCTGCCAAAAGACCTCCCTCTGCATGATTGCTCTTCTTGTACCAGGACAGAGATCTCCCTCTTTAGCAGAACAAAAGCCCTTGTCTGCATCTGTTTTCTACCCTGCAAATCCATCCTCCAAGGCTGCTCTAGATCCCCACCACAATCCTGGCCAAACCCCTTAGATCTGCTGTGCAGTGACCCCCTGCCCTTTCAGTCCCAGGCATCTCCTTGCTCAGCCCATGAAAACTGTGTTTTCTGGTCCCTACATGTTCCACATCTCTTCAACATGGTGTGCTACCCTATGGCTTGGGGGACTGTCCAGGCCTCCCCAGGCTGGAAGAATACACAACCTGCACCCCAAGAACTGATGTACCTGCATCACCTTCAACACCAACTCTTCCACTTCACCTCACCTGATGATTGACCCCCCTAGACTGCCCCCACTGAACAGGGATGTCTTTCTGGAGGAGTTGCTCCCCGATTTTTCCATCACATCCCCATAGCTCCAACTCTCCCTCTTTCCCCCGTGTGTCCCCTCCATTCAGCCCAGCTCCCCAGATGAGCACGTCACGTTCACTGCCACAGCACCACCCCTGAGAGCCGACCTGCTCATTGGCCTAATGGGTTTCCAAGGGGGTGATGGAGAGGGGAGGAGAGCGAGTGGCTGATGCTTCCCAGGCACTCAGCTCGGCCCAGAGCTAACGAGGCATCTCCAAATTAAAAAGTGAACTGCAATCCCCAGCAGGCCTGTCCTCCTTTTGGCATTAGTCGGAGTTCTCTTTCTCAAAAAGAGGACTGGAGAGCAGCGAGTTGCATTTGGAGCCATCGAAGCAACACATCCCAGGGATGCTGGAACGAAGGGGTTAGGCTGCGGAAGCACTGGCTCTCTTTGTGAGGGGCAAGATCTGCCTCACCATGGGAAGGAGCACAAATGGTACGTGGGAATAGGCTCTTCCAGTGCCTCTACATTCAAAGGTACCTCCTGCTCCACGGGCAGCAACTGTGGAGGAGGCACCCGAGGGTACAAAGGTGGTACCCTGCCTGTGGGACTGAACAGGCAGGGACAGTGCAGGGGTGATGATGTGAGGGGAGGATGGTAAGAAGGAAACAATGCTCCTGTAGGAGGAAGATACAGGGAAAGCCAGCAGGGAAAGGGCTGAGGTGGGAGGGGAGCCTGGTTTATTGCTTTTGTGGGTTGAATTTCTAACATGGGAATCATCTGGGAAGGATCTTTCTCTGCCCACACGTCTGGGGTGCCCAGCACTGCCCTCCTGCCCCCAAAGCCCTCATCCTTGAGCTGCAGAGGACCGAGGGCTCTGGTTTTTAGAGGTGTTCTCTGGAGCAGCTCAGCCTGGCTCACGGGCAGCTGAGTGGTAGCTGCTTTGTTCCAGTCCTCTCCATTCTGGCCGCAGACAGCTGCCTGTCCATCCAGACCTCTCCATCACTGCTGGGCCAGCCCTGAGGCAGCCTCATGCCATTCCTCCAGGACACACAGCTCCAAGCAGGACCTGCCAACCCTCTGAGACGCTCTCTTGGCCATTCACAGCTCACCCTGACTGGACTTCCTGGGATGAGCGCACAAGTGAGTGAAGAGTGATCTCCGTCCCCAACAGAGATGGCTTACACCCATCTTGGCCAGCTAGAAAGCAGCCGAAGAGTGGCAGGCTGGTCCAAGTGGAGCACAAGGTGGGCTGCAGGGCAGTGGACTGGAAAACAGCTCAGGGTGCTGGAAAGGGGGTTCAACCCAGTCCCATGCATCCCTGAGAGACATACACAAATGTTCTAGGGTTATGCCCAAACTGTGCCTTTTTCAGCTGAACGCAGTTCACTGGGGCGAGATTTGCCATCTTCACAGCAGGGCTGTTGGATCAGCTAGAAGCCATAAGGGCTTCTAGATCCTTGTATGATCCCACAGGATTTCTCCTGGCAATGGATTTAGCCCAAAATCACAGAGAACCGGTGAGCACTGGGGATAGCAGTGGAGCAACGAAACTTCCCCCCCCTTTCCCCTAGGCTTGTAAGGCTTGCCCAGCTTTCAGAATCACCTTTCAACACATCCTCAACTGTAAGTGCTGCAGGGACAATTTTGACTAGATAAGCTTATCTTAAAAGGGAAGGGGACTAGATGTGCCAAGAGTGAGGGCATCCCTGCACACCAAGCACCAAAGGCATGGCCACTGGTGCTGACAGCCAGGACTTTGCACTCATGAGCAAAGAGAAGGGCAAGAAAGGGTGAAAGGCAATGGTGAGACGAGTGCAGGAAAGGGGGTTAACATCATCTTTCTATATCTCTGCTTGAGTGAGTTAAAATGCAGCTTGTACTTTGGGAATTCAAAGTAGAATCAAATAAAATGCAATGGCTGCCCAACAACATGCACTTTACAGCCAGGAAGGATGCTGAGCCCAGCCTGTTTATCACACAGACCCATACAGGGACAGCAGCACTGCCCTGAGCCCTGTGTGCCCTGCTCAGGTTGAGGGAAGGGGTGTCTGTGTCCTGGGTACTGCAGGGACCTGCCATCAGAGAACATAGGCTGTGAAATGCAGCTGCACTGATGGACTTCTATTCCCATGGCTCCCCGCTGCACCCCTCTGCTCTGTGCCTCCGCGGAGCTGGACCACCTACTGTTTTACTGTATCAGAATCATCTCAGTGGCTTACAAGATGGTTTTCTTGCAGTTTTTATGTCATCTCTGCAGTTCTCCCCCTCATAAAATGTGACTGCAACAATTCCTGTGATTGGGACTGTTGAGCTAATAGGGACATTTCATGTTTCTTAAACAGAGCTAATAAATCAAATACCCCCATATCACATGTCCAAAGCAGAGAAGGGAGTGGGGGGATCCCCATTTCCTTGCAGAGCACTGCAAGCCCCTCTGAAATGGCTCCCACTGCACAGAAGTGACCTCCGAGATGGCCCTGAGCGCTACAGAGGTATGAACATCTCCCAAAGCCCACAGCCCTCCATGAGGCCAGGGTTCAGCAGCTCCTAGTGCTGCCACCTGAAAGCCCCTGTTCCACCCCAGGGTAGAGTGTGGTGGGGACTGTGTGCATGAGGAGGGAAAGGAGCCTCTGATGAAGGGTAAGGGGCAGTCAGTGGATGGGGGCAAGTCTGAGTAGGGTGCAGGGAGACCAGAAGCTTCAAGGAGAGACAGGTTTGTTCATGGGGTCACAAGAAACTGGAATACACAGGGGTGACTTCAAAATCTGATTAAATCAGTGGCCATATTCCTCCACCCCCAGCTTCAAGGAACTCTGGATTAGACCCCTTGAGAGAAAACTCCTCCTTGTACCACCGTGGAACTGGCCCTGGCATCTCTCCTCCTTATGAGCAAAAGCATGAATCTGCTACCCAGCAGTCATTTGGAGAAGAACACCTCTACATGGTTCCTGTCCTCCTGCAGGCTGAAGATCTCCCAGTCCCACACATGTCCTTGTGAGGAGGTAAAAGCATTGCCCAGAAAAGACTGAGAACAGCCAAGCTCTGCAGGCTGGGGACAGAAGTCCTCCAAACCCCCCTCCCTGTGCCGTCAGCTGTGGTTCTCCACTGCCTGCTCCTCTCCAACAAATGGTCCTCAACCATACCTGGGAGTGTGACAGGACCTAAGGTTTATCCACCAGGATGACAAAGAGAAGGCCCTTCCCATTCTCCTTTTTGCTCACAGGACTCAAGAGAGGAATTGCAGATCCTTGCATCTCCTACTGAATAGGAGCCAGGACACCAGCTCCCAGGGAATATTTTATCCCATATTGTTGCTTGAAGGGGCAGCCTGGCAGAGCAACCAACAGACCAACGTTCACCCCAACCCTCTGCAGGGAAAAGAGCTAAAATAAATGGCAGTGGGAACAGAAGTGGAGGAGGGATGACCTGGAGTCTGTGATGGAGGGAAGTTTGGAGTAAAGGAAAAACAGGGTGTCTGTCCCAGCAAAATGTCCCCAGGGACATCACGCTATGGACAACCCAGTTGCGTGCAGGAATGGGTGACAGTGGGAGGAGAGGAGCCAGTGAGAGGAAGGAAACCAGGAGAGAAGAAGGAAAGGTGAAGGAGAAGGCAAGAAGGAGTTGAGGGCTAGCAAAGGAAGGCAGGAGGTGTCAGATGGGAGTGTTTCATGAGGCCAAGCTGAGAGCATGGACACAGGACAGCCCCCGTGCTCCGCTCCCTGCGACCAGCCATCACCATACCTCCAAAGTCAGGCCTGAGGCGGACGTCATAGCCCTTCAGCAGTTTGTCCACAATCTCTTTCACCACAGAAATATTCCCAGTGGATGGGCTGAAAGACAAAAGAAGAGAGTCCTCATCATCCCTTGTGCCATCCTGGCTGTGCAGCACTGCCGCAGCATCCCTCGCGCCCCTTGGCACCAAAGTTCCTGTGTGTGCTACAGACACCCAGCTCACTCACGTTGAATGTCCCTGCACAGGTCTTGGCCTGCACACAAGCCCCAGAGGGCTGCTAGGGCTCCTAAGCCATCCTGGGGAGTGACACAGGAGTCTCAGCAGTAGTTTGGCTCTTCTGTGGCTCACCCTGACTCCTGGGTACCACAAACTACATCCCCCTGCACTCCGGCCCGGTATGTGCCTGCATCCCCGCAGTGCCACGAGGCTGGTGCACCCCTCAATGTGGGCACCACACTCACTCTTCTGGGCCACTGACCCACACATTTGGGGTGCCTCACTGTGCCCTTCCCATGGGTGGGTGCACACACACACACACACACAGAGGCAGAAATTGTCCTTTCTGTTCCACCAAGGTGTGCACTGGGTGGCTCCAGCCTCTCTTTTGCAGAGCTCACTCCCTTTTGCCTTCCATGCTGGGCATTTGCTCCTGGTCTCACCCTGCACAGCATGGACTGGTCACACAGTGAGGTCTCGACTACAGGAGTGCCCCCCAGCAGTCACCCGGCACTGTCACACACCCCAGTGCAACCTCTGCTTCTCAATGCACCCAGGTATTTCTTCATATTATTGAAGTAAATAAAAAAACAATGCTACTTTAGTCCTATGGCCTCAACATACAGCTGATCTTTGGCAGGTAAAAATGCCTTTTCTGTCACTCAGTATCATTGTGGCTTCTTAGCAACACAAACCAAGAGACAGAGGCAGGGGAGGAGAGTCCATCTTTCCCTCTTTGTGCCAGAGCAGTGATCCTTTCCCTGCCAACCCCATGACTTGTACACAGGAGGGGCATCTGTCCTCCCTAACACCGATCCAGCCATTTCGGAAAGAAAGGAGCTTCTTCTAAAAACAGCCCAAGAGCCAAAGCAAAACTGAAGGTGGGAAACCAGAAAGCAGAGGATGCTAAAAATATTGAACCTATTCAGCGCTGCAGGGTATATAGGTTTTCTGCCTGAATACCCAGCCTCTGTGCCACCCTCATTCCCTGCTTTGCATGAGAATAGAGACACTGCTGGTGACAACTGCTGCTCTTTGCAGTCACCTACCACAACAGCACGTCTCCCTGTCAGCACCACCTCCCACATCCATCCAAGTCAAGCTGGAAAGCTGCACCATAGCACTACCACTGCTAGCCAGCCCTGTTCCTCACTGGATGCAGGGGTTTGCACTGACATGTCCATGTGTCTGCACACACATAGACAGACACACAGACGTGCTCTCCTGATGGTACGAAGGATGTTTGAACTCCTTCCTATGCACACAGAGATACAGACACATGAAGGTGCCGGAGCTCGAAGCTACAGCTGTGATAAGTGCCCAAATGTATGTACATGTATGTGATGATAAACAAGTCTGTGTGAAGGTGACTGTGGGTGCAGATCTTGCTTGGGTTATGGAAGTGTTCAAGACCAGGTTGGATGGGGCTTGGAGCAACCTGCTTTAGTGGAAGGTGTCCCTGCCCATGACAGGGAGGTTGGAACTGGGTGAGCTTTAAGGTCCCTTCCAACTCAGTCTCTCCATACAGGTGTAGGTGGAGGCATGTGGGACCACTGGGAAGTCCTGGCATGCATTAAGGCTCTGCATGCGCAGGCTGTGTGTGCGCAGGGATTTCTCAACAGAACAGTGAGGTGCAAATAGGAGGCAGCACACTTCCCAGGCCCAGCTTTGATGTATGGACCAACCATTCAGCTCAGTGACAGAGGCTGTGTGTGGGGGGGATGTTTGAGCCACATTCCTGAGTGTGCAGCTTAGAGGGGTACAGCTCTTCACTGCATTGCTTTAATCACTGTAAAAAGGCCAGAGAGGGACACACAGGTGGACATCTTCACCGCACTGTGTCTAGGCTGGCAATGCCCACTTCACCTGTGGATCTCTATGCAGGTATGTGAGGTTTTGCAACATGCTTATATATATAAGATCACCATGGATGGATAGTGTGTACCAGTATCTGCTCATTTCTAGACAGTCATTCCCAGGTACACAGATTTCCATAGTCATAATTTCCATATTCCTCATATAGACACTGTATTTCTCAAGGGATTTAGACACTTCTGTAGAGCTTCACACAGGACATAAACTCAGGAGGCAGTGTCATCTCCTTAATACAGGCAAGGAAATTGAGACAGAGGCAGTAACCAATGTGCCAGGGGCCCTGCAGAGCAGGGCAGTGGGAAGAGAGATACAGGGCTTCTTTCCTCCTCATCAGCTACAAGTTGGCCCAGTGAGGACATACACTGCCACCCTGAACAAGGGCAAGGCCTCTTGCCTCTTGATGCTATTTTTGATCCAAAAAGCCATGTCCCCCCTGCTGAAGAGGCAAACCCAGCTGCGAGCAAGCAGCTGCATTTAAGTGCTATTCCTGGCAAATGTGGGTCTGCATCCGCTCAGGGAGCACGTTCATCCAGCCCGTGAACTGGATTTTTTAATGCTGTGTCCCTGACTCTCTGTGGGTGTGCGGGTGCTTTGCATATGCACATACACTTGCAGCCAAACGTCTACATACATGTGCACTGTGCTGCTGGCTGGGATGTGTGGGAGCAGCTGAAGGCATGTGCACATGGGAGAGTGTTTTGTCTCCAAGGTGTACAGATTATACATGCAGACTACAGGTGAATAGCAGCCCTGGACATAAGCAGATATAAATACCCATGCAAGGTCATGTCTGAGCAAAGGCTTTTGATATGGGCATTGCTTGGACACTGCCTCTTAAGCGTGCTGGTGTATGTGTCCATACACAGTGGAACCAGGCATGAATGGTGTGGGTAAGGTGGGCATGGATCTGCGCATGTGCGTGTTTATAACTATGGGAACATAAATCTTTGTATATAGAGATCTGCAAGGGACCTGCGTGTGCGTGTCGGGAACACACTGCTCAGCGCGCCCGGCTGAGCAAGGAAATGCCACAGCTCCCCTCCCAGCAGGCTTCATGCACACCGTCATCACAGAGGTACAAACCCACCTGCATGTGTGAGCAGGGAGGGCGAGGAGGAGTAGGCAGTGCTACTCCTGTGTGTGAAGGCAGTGGATAAACGCCTGTGTCGGAGCAAACAGGTGTTCTCCGTACACCTTGTCCAGGCTGGATGGGTGCCTGGATCACACGGAGTGATCCAGGCATAAACCAGGAATAGCTGCAGCTTGGGTATGCAGGGTATTAGAGCAGATTTACATGCCTACACGCAGAGCAGGTCAAGCATGCTGTGCTCTGTAGGTGCGTTGTGAGACACATGTGTGTGCACCCGAACAGGCATGGATGAATGCGCACATGCAGGGATGTATCTGAAAGCCTCGCACCCACAGATGATGATGTTGCATGCCATAAACCTGCAGGGAAGCACAGACATTGCCTCCACTACACCGCAGAGCCGGGGCTGTGTTACAGGCTGGATGTGCGTGTGTGCTCTATGTGTGCACTGTGTGTGCAGACACAGGCACAGCCAAGGCAGCCCTGTGCCGGGTGCGTATGCACACAGCTCGGTGCCGTACACTCCTTCAGCTCCCACAGGCACCATGTTACACAGCAAAACGTTTCATTTTGCCATTTTCCCCCAGGTCACGTACTGGGGCGGGGGGGGGGGGGGAGAGGATGCGCTGCAAGTGGGCTGCGAGGTGGGCTCCATCTGCAGAAAGCCTGTACCACATCTCATGTATGAGCATCCCTCCTCCTCCTAAAATGACATGGGCTGGGAAATAACAACAGCAGGCAGCAGGGGAAGTGATTTGGGGAAAGAACCCCCCCCTCCCCTTTCCCCCGTACAAATCGATGGAGAAAACCCCAAACCAAACAAACAAACCCTAGATCAGCCCTCCTGTCCCTGCAGCCTGGGATCGCAATGCTTACCTTTGTGCACAGCAGGCGAGACAAAGAGCTGCTAAAGCAGAGACAATTCCACTCAATCTGTCTGCCTGAAATGTCCACATTTCCACAAAGACGAAGGAGGAAAAAAAAATCTTTGGAGGGGAGGGGAAAGAAGGATGGATCTTCTGAAATCCCCCTCCAAAAAAAGGGGGGGAGGGAAAAAAGAAACCAACCCCCCCCCCAGGCAATGATTTCCTAGAGAAAAAGAATAATGAAAAAATCCCTAAAAAATATGGGGGAAAAATATTCCTCCCCCCCCCCCCCCCCCCTTCAGTGCCAGTCAAAGAATTCGTTTCTTCTTCCTTTCAGCATCCTTTCAACAAGAGACATCCTCTGGCAACGGAGAAAATCCCAAGAGAAAGAAAAATAAAATGCCCCAAAATGGGCTCAGCAGAACATGAAGCGGAATCTCACAGGTACGAGGGAGAGGGGGAAAAAGGAGAAAAAAAAAAAAAAGAAAATTAAAAAAAAAAAAAAGAAAGAAAAGAAAAAAGAACTCAGCGTCCCCCGAGCACTCCACTTGGATTATTTTTCCTCCTGCTCTTTTGCCATCCGGTTCTGCAGATGTTGCATGGCTTCTGCTACCCACCTTCAGAGGAGGAGGAGGAGAGAGTGTGTGTGTGTGTGTGTGTGTGCGTGTGTGTGAGGGGGGAGGCGTGCGTTATCTAGCAATATGATTTTATTCTGGATTTTACCTACTTGCTCCCCCTTCCCTCTTCATTTTCCGAGGGCGAAAGGGAAGCAACCCAGCCCCACCGTGCAGTTCTTTTATTATAGGGAAATCTCAGCCTCGTCACTTGGAAGGTTTGGGGCTTTTTCTAAAAGGGTTAAAGAAAAGGAAAAACAAATGCAACCCAGAAAAGAAATAAATAGATCTATGCATGTGTAGAAAATGAATAAATCCCTGTCTGCAGAGAGAGCTGCTCTCCGAGAGAGGACTGGATGTCTCCCTAGTGCTGTTGCCGCAGCTCCTGTGGAGTTTTGCTGCTCATTGCAAAGTCACAAGAGGAGGGGAGGAGAGAGGAGGGAGTTTGTGGATGGGGAGGGGGACACTCCGACAAACTGGGATCCTGACGTCATGGCTGACAACATTAACCCCTGCTGCCTTGCAGAGGGGATTTTTTCTTTCTCTTTTAACCAGGGGGGTGTGAGCAGGGAAGAAGATGGGAAAGGTGATGGCATTTGGGCAAGTGGGGGGACATGCCTCTGAAAGAGTGGCTCAGCTGCAAGCACTGATGGGTGGTGTGGTCCCTGAAATAGTGTGATCAGCAAAGGCTGAACCTCTCCCTTCAGCAAGAGATAAGAAAGAAGGTGATTTAATGAGGCTCTTTCCATGCCAGGGGGCAGAGTGGCCTCCTCCTGGGGTACTGGGGAAGAGGTGAAGCCTCTGATGGGGCTGGAAACTTCCCTAGGGCAGGGAAGCCCAGCTCAGCAGGGGTGCTCAGCTTTCCCTGGAGGGTGCTGTTATGGGCACAATACAGTCTGTGGGAACAGGAAGCCTGAACTTCCAGAAATGCTGCTGAGGATCATCTCCTGGTGCTGTGGCTTTGCCTGCTGACATGGTAACAGCCATTGAAATCTTCACAGTCACAATCTCCTGTGCATCAGATTCTCATCTTTACCTTAAAAAAGTAATATAATTAAAGACCTCTACATCAGGTATGCAGTAATGTATTTCCATGGAGGATTTCCTCCTAGGAAAAAGAAGAGATCCAGCAGCACTTTGAATGCAGAGCAGAAGCCGTGGCTGAAGGAGGAAATGTCTGAGCTCTCACACCAGGACCATCCCGCATGCCATCACCTGTATATCTGCCTGGCAGCTCAGGGCAGACCCTCCAAGCAGGTAAGCCTCCACTCCCCCGTGCTGGCTGACAGCTGTGTGTGAATGGTCTCCAAACCCTTCTTGGCCAAGAGAGAAGAGCTGATGTGTCACTGCAGTTGGGCAAAACTAGGTCCAACAATAGCCACTGGGCAGCAGCCTCATCCTGCCCTTCCCTGCAGGAAGATCAGTGCCAGCCGTGGCTCTGGGGCTCACAGTGCTCCCTTCCCTCATGCTTGGGTACTCTACACATCCTTCTCCCAAAAAGGGAGATGGAGAGTGACCACTTTGAAAAGCCCCGCCATTGCAGGCCAGACGGAGCTGTTGTGAGGCACAGACATTAAACCAAGGAAAAGCTGGGTTGTGTAATGCACTGTACTGGTGTGACAGCTCAGGCCATGTCCCAGCAGGCAGGTCCTGGGGGCAGCCAGCATGTGAACCTTGTGGGGACAAGGAGCGCTCAGGGAAGGTTTTGCATCTACAGCAAGGCTGTGGTGGAGTGCATCTTCTCACCTGCTGCTGAGCCTGGTGGAAAACGATCTCTGCTTGGTTTAGAGCCTGGACCACTCCTTCTCCTCCAGACCCCTGTGAGTTAAGCTCAGAGCAGTGACCCCCTGCTGTGTTTTCTCCTAGGCCAAGCAGATAAGTGGCACTTGCCACATGCCAGCAAATGTGTCTATGGGTGCTGGGATGAAGCATGGCTTTGACTGCAGACCACTCACTGGGGCTTCCCAGGCTGCAGCTAGATGTAGGGACTCAACCATGACACCCAGCTATGTCTGGTGGTCTTTAGCTGCTTCGTAGCCCCAAGCAATCACTGCCTGTCTGCCTAGGCTTTTGGTGCTGGACTGACTGCTGTGCCAAGGGTGCATGCCCTCAGATGTGCCCTAGCTTTGACATGCCCTGGTCCCATGAGTAATACATGCTTTGCTAACCCCCCCAGAAGCTTGTGAGTCCCTGATTCCTGTAGCTGAGGGGTTCATCTTTGCAAGGGGCTGTGGGAAATAGAGCCAAAGCAATAGAGTTTCCTTTTGTGCCTGTTGAAGAAGAGGAACCAGCCCAGCAGCCATGGACTGTGCTTGGTCAGGCTCAACCCCAACCGTTTCCACAGGGCAGTTAGTCTCCTGTGTGGTCACTTGTGCCTCACCTGGTGTGCCTGGCTCTGCAGCACAAGGCGCAGCCAGCCATGGCACAGATATGCCAGGGTCCTGCAAGATCTCCCCACGTACATGGGTACAACTGGGAGCCCTGAGCCTGGGATGAGCTGCCTCTCGGGTGCCAGTGATTGTACAGGTACAGTATTTACCTCATCTGCTGCTGCCAGCACACAGGTCTCCTGGCAGCAGAGTGTTTCTGAAGCGCTTATTCTGAATTAAGCTGCTGGGTACCAGGGAGAAGCTCTTGGGGAAACGAGAAGCATTTGCCTCTGCAATGGCTCTGGGCACCAGAGACCCCATTTAGCCCCTCCTGGGTCCTTCTAGTCCTCCCTTTTCTGGCCCCTTAGCACTGCTGTCTCCCACCAGCTATGATTGCATGTTACTGGCTAAAAGGTAAGGGGAAAGCAAATGTCAGAGGCATACATGAAGAGGAAAAATTACGCTCACAAATGGTGACATTTGTGCTTGCAACTTCACCCAGTCGGGAGCAGAAACCATGTCACATGAATTATCTGACCACTCAGCCACAACGGGAAACTTTGGAAAGCCCGTTGCTTAACAGTGAATGCATTCAAAGCAGCTGTGGTGTGATCTTGAATAATCTACCTGAAGCCACTTTCATAAATAAAGCACTGCTTTGGAATTAGTCACCCATCTCTGCTGAGTCTCATCAAAGCTGATGCACATTGACACATGATGATGCTTGCTGAGGTGTTTGTTTCTTGCCTCTGGAAGATGGTCATCCTTGAGCTCCTCCAGGAATCCCAACGCTGGGCATCCCTCCTGGGACTGTCTGCTCTCTAACAAGAGACCAGCAAAGGGTTTTTCTGAGGTTCATATTCTGAGCCTAAAAAGAGCTCGAGAAACTGCTGGGGATGATGTGCTGTGGCTGTAATCACCCTGAAGAGGCCAAGGAGGATTGTGCTCATAGCCATTTGCTGTTCTCCACTATTAAATCATTTGTTTTCACTCCTCTCTTACTTGTTGCTGTGCTGCAAGCTTCACACCCTGACCTCCCTTCTTATCCTGTGCCCCCCACTAACTCCAAATTGGAGTCATTGTGACAGTGTTGTGCCAAAAGCCTCATGGCTAATGGTCTATAGCCACCAGAGATAGTGCAATTTACCTTTTTTCTTTATTTTTCCCTTTTTCTTTTTTTTTCTTTTCTTCTTTTCTCCATGGTGTCTAGCAGTTGAGCACTTGCTGGGTCTTCATCTGTGTGCTACCTCGACCTTGGGCTCATGGCATGGGAGAGAAGAATCAGTGCTGTCCTGAGGGCTTTGCATGCATAAAGCAGTGAGGCAGTGAATCAGATTGTCTCTGCCTTTTAGGAAAAATGGGGAAAGAGGAAGGCTGAGCTTTACCAGCACCAAAGGATGCTTTAGGCCTTCTCTCCAAGCATTCCGATGCACTCAGCAAATAGTTTCAGTAGAAAGTATTTAACATTAGGAAATACCATAATTAGAACTAGTGCTAGGGATCACCCAAAACACAGGTGTACCAGTACCACTTAGCTGTGGTGCTTCCTGCCCCAGGAGGTTTCATGTGTTCCTCTTGCTGAAGGAGGGAATGAGGAGCTCTTTCCCTTGCCATCACAATTGTAACGAAGTGCTACTTTTCCCAAGGGCTTACCATCAAGGTGGAAAATCTTTCTGGTCACCTCTCCCTGCTGCAGGGTGGCTCCTCTGCCAAACCAACAACTCACAGCAGAAGATGGTTTTTCTTCTAAAGCAGAAAAAGAATGAGAGAAGAGAAAGCAAAACAAACCAGGCACTGAAGTTTAATAGCAGCCCAGCAGGAAGGGAGAACATATTCAGTCTTGGAGCCAGCATTTCTGGTGGAAGGTGGAAAACACCCTGAAAGTAAACGAAGTGTACCTTCATGAAGTGGGAAGAGAGGTGGAATAGAAGTTTTCCCACCTGGAGTAGCAAACTGCTGCTGTCTCATGCTGCAACTGCATCCAGGACTGAGCTCAGCAAACCAGAGAGCCTTCACATTTCCAACTCTAGGTTCCAGCAGGAAAAGTTTTCCCTCAAGCTATCCCATAGGACAAATGCTCCATCAGCAATTACAGGGCCACCTAATCACCTTTGGGTGCTGGCAGGAGAAGACCACAAGTTGCCATCCCCATGTACCTGTGGGGTGACAGCCACCTTGGACAGCAGCTCCTTGAACAGACAGTACCAGCATTTCAGCAACTCCGTGTCTTCTAACTCACTCCTAATGTGTTACACTGGAAGCCCTCCCTGCTTCAGCACACTATATGCTAAATGTTGTATGTTCCAGAGGAAATATCCCAAAGACATAGTGGATATACAGAGTTGCTCATCTTTTCTCAGTTAAGATCCTTCATCATGTTATAGGATAGCGCAGACTTCTTCAGAGGAAGTGGAAATATTGACCATTCTTAGGAACCATGAATGGGTGATCTGGCCAGCAGAGCTTTGCATGCAGTCATGTACCTCCTCTGTGCCCAAATCTCTTTAACTAGGGGATGGAATGTGTGGAGGGAAGGGAGAAAGGATTGTCTTTGGAGGTGGGTTCATGCACTAGCTCCCATTCTAACCTGTCTTTTAGCTTGTGAGGCTGCAGACACAGTCTAAGTTTGGGCTTCCATCACTTGAAAAATGGTATGGCCAACTGAAGGTCCTTTGATTATGAGGCTGTGGCAGCCGTGGTTGTTGAGAAGATTTAAGTCCCACTTCTCCAATGCGAGAACAGCTTCCCATGCCACAGTCTTCTCCTGCCATGCACAGACAAGCAGCTGAGCTTGTGGCACAGGGACAATCTCCTCCAGCCGTACCTGAAGGCTAGTGATGAGTAAGGCAGGTGAGTTGGGTCTGCAGGGCAGCCTTAAGGCTGACATGCATCCACAGAGGAGCTGTGGTACCCCGGGAGGTGTGAATTTGTTCCTGCATGCATGTTGAGGGATGTAGAGCCTTAGTCATACTTGCATGTTTGGCTGTACGTACCCTGGTCACAGACTGACATGGAGATGGGGGTCAACTCCTC